TATATATTCATTCCGCAGGGTGATCCCACTTTTATAATGGGATGGGATTACCCTTCGGTCTCGGGGCAATATTTTGAAATCATCTAATAAACTCCTATAGAAATAGCTCTTTGGAGAGAAGTACCAGAAGCCATTTTTGTTTTGAGGCAGGCTCTCACCGTGAAGTCCCAGCTAGCCTGTTAATCGCTATGTAGACCAGGCTGGCTTCGAACTCACAGAGCTCCTCCGAAGTCTGCCTTCCAAGTGCCTGGATTTAAGATATTCAACCCTGCCCGTCTTGCGGAAGTCGTTTTTAACATTTCCATTTTCATTAGAAACATGGACAAAGAAAGCTTAACCTCCTGTTTTTTTCACGCTACAAAGTTCAAATAAAGAGTAGTTACAAAGAAAACAAAACAAAAACTAGAACTGTAGCTTCAAGGCTGGCCGAGAAATTACCGATACAGAACTCAATCAGTTATATAAAACTTCCGGGCACTAGGTTCCCGCCTGGTAAGTACCCAAAAATGACCAATGAGAGCGCCGCTACTTCAGCTAGCGGTGACCAGGGCAAGAAGGAGAGAGGCTATTGGTCGCCGGCTGCGGGCTGCCGTCCAATGGGAGCTCGCTGAGCCCACGGCTCGAACGCGGAGCTCCAGGGGTTCTCAGAGTTGTTTGGCGTTGGTGGGGATGAGCTGTGGCTTGATAACGATCAGGAGCGGTTCTCCGTCCCTGCAGCTCCAGGTAAGGCGGGTGCTCGCGCTTCCTAGGGCCTCGGGCGTCTAGATCCGGGTTGTTTCCGCCGGCCAGTGCCGGGTTCCGGAGCTTAGAGTCGCCCCGAGCGACGGGCCGCGGGCAGGCTTGGAACTCGGCGACCTGAGGCGACTCGGGGCCTTCGGGCGGCCGAGGGCCTCGAAGTTGCCTCCTTTGGCCCTGCTAAGTGTTTGGAGGTTGGGGGCGGGGAAGGCGGAAACGCCGAGCTCTTGAGCGGGCAGAGGAAGCGGGGTTCGGCCCGCGCGGGCTGCTGGACCGCACCGCGTTTTCCCCGTGCCGCCTCCGATGGTCCAACCTCAGACTCATCTAATAACCGGCCGCCTATTGCTTGCAAGTTAGAAGAACTTAATTTTTACTTACCCCCTTAGCCTAACTGTGACGTAAGCATTTGAATTGTCTCTTTTCTACGAATGAATGGTTGAACAGGGAAGTCTTGAAAAACTCCCTTCAGGTTCTCTGGGTAGTAAAAGTTATCCAGCTGGGATTGGAACCCAGGTCAGACCGAAGCCCCGCCCCTCTCCTGAGTTCCACCCCCGCCCTCCCCGATTTCCCAAACTAAGTAAGATGGCCCGTCTCTGGAGCGCACGTTTTAAGGGGTGCTGCCGTTTTATTGGCATTTGCCGGACATGCAGAGGGGCAAGGCCAAGAGGTTTGAGGCGACCGGCCCGGATTCACACCCTGGATGTAGGAAATTTCGCTTGGTACTGCACTGTTCCAATATCCCTGCTACGTGGGTGTTTAAGAGCCTGAAGTGTGACCGGTGCAACTGAAAAACTTAGATTTTAATTTTACCTAAATAGCCGCCTGTATGTTGTATTCAGAGCAGACAGGACATTTCCCTAGGTTCTACCCTTTCTGGTCCATCTCTGTCTCTGCCCATCCTTTACAGAGGCAGGAATGCGTGCGTGCGTGAGAGAGGATGGATGGATGGATGGATGGATGGATGGATGGATGGATGGACAGATGGATGTGTAGGCATGGAGGGTGGATAAGTGGATGGGGGGT